GTCAGAACTGAGTGTAGTGGGGGAGAAACTTCTCTTCAGTGGATAATACAGGCTGTTGATTTTATAGAAGCTACAACAGAACAGGATGGATGAGGGGCAGCACACAGGGGCTCTGTGAGCTTCCACAGCTGGGCTTCTAAAGTGGTTTTCCATTCCCTGTGTGGTTTTCTGCTCTGCAACCCAGACTCACCATTCTTGGTGACCACAGCTATGGACTCCCCCTCTAGATGGTGCACGTCTGGTGCAATTTATTTTTCTCCTGGAAAATACCTACCATGGATTCTTTGGCCCTTGACTTTTTCCCTGGCCTGACCAGATCTATCCTCAAGATGGGCTCTTCTGTATCTCTCCTGCTGCTTCCCTTCCTCTTGGGAGCAAGGCCCCATGCAAGTCTGTCCCTGCCTGAGTACTGCTGTCTGGAGGTGGGAAGAATGCCCCTGGCATGGACTTGATACATAATCGTGGTTCAAACTCTGTGATTTCTGGTTCTTAGGATAGTAGCATCCACCACAAGAATTCATAAGAACTCTAGGTGTTTCCTAATAACCCAGTCTGCCCTACAGTCATCCCCCATCCAGTCAATCCCCTGGATCCCCCTGGATGCCATCCAGTCATCCCCCTGGATACCATACTGCTTTCAGATTCTAGACTTACATGTGAGGAACAAGCTGAAAACCCAATATCCTCCTATATTACCAATAATCTTGTTTTTAGATGCAGAGAACAGAACCTTTCTATATGTTTGGACTACCTATGTGCATAGTCAAATTATTTCCAAGTTAAAAATTTTCCTTTTGCTAAAATTATTTGCATCAGAATCATTATTTCCTGTGTAAAATTTTCAATGAAGCCTTATTTTGTGGATCAAGTTTGTTTTGGTGTTTTTTTTCTCATATCAACCAATTATAGCATCTGCAATTAGTCATTTACTTTTATGGACATTATATCTACTAAGTTCAATTATTCTAAATCAAATTTTGCAATTAGGAATTTTATCAGAAAGATTTGCTTCTGTCAGTTTTTAGTCAACACATTTTTCTGCGTGCAATTTTTATTTTGTTTGATTATATTTACCATTAATATTCATCACAAATCAGATAAAAGAAAATAGCTTGCATTTATTTTTTAGCTAATCCATAAGAAAATAGGTAAGCCATTTTGGGATCACTGTATTGTTAGGGATTGGGCTACTGTATGGCTCATCCGATTCTGCTGAATGTTTCCTTCACTTTGGGTATTGATTGCATCTTAGAGTGCTCCATCGTGGTGGAGCAGAGAGCATGTGGCAGGGCAAAAATGTTTTGCTTTGCTCCAAATGTGGCAGTGTTTTGGGAGAAGAAAGGTAAGGGTATGATTTTTTTTTCTTTAGTTTTCTGCTCTCTTTTTCCCCAATATATATATTTTTTCTATTTCTATCCCTTCTCTAAACTTTCCAGCCCTTTCAGTTTCTCTGACTCATCATTTCATTAACCCGCCACCCTGTCTGCCCCACTTCTCTCCTGCCCCAGCCCTCCTCCTGCCTACATTGACCCTTTCCCACTTCTCGATGTCACTCACTGCCCCAGACCCCTTCTTTGAGGGCATAGCTGTATTTTCCCCTCCTGTTGGCTTTCTCTTATTGCGCCACCCCCTCCTCCTTCCAAGAGTTGCTTATCAGAGCCCTCAATGTCATGATTATAAAGGCTTAGAGAGAAACTCTTGGCCCTGCCGTTCAGCATCCCACCGGGATCAAGTAACCAAGAGAGGTTGTGAAACTGTGCCCCTTGTATGGCTCTAAAAGCAGCACTGAGGGAGGTCTGCTTATGTGGGCTTGATTTTATGGAATCTGTCTGAAGACAGAGGGATGGATGATATGATCTCAGGAGGGCCTTGCCAGATCAAGGAACCTGGGAGCCTCATCTCAATCATCATCAGTTTAGATTTATTGGACACCCCCTGGGTGCTCGGAGCTGTGCTAAATGATTTCATCCTTCAAGCCCTGAAATCCAGTTTCTGCCTTTTTAGCAGCTGTTTAGAATATTGTAATATTAGGCTGAGTTTTTCCAAGCTTTTATTCTTTTGGTTATGATGTACTACAAACCAGGTTTTAAAAATTGAGAGTGGATTTAATAATGATGTGAGGGATTTTCCTTGACATCTTTTTAGCATAAGATTCTGTAGATTCCCATTGCATATGAGTTTCCCTCCAGCTAATGTGAGATCAGACGGCATATTGAAAAGTGGGTAGAATAATACTCATGGAGAGAATGTCTTCTGGACACTGGAGGGGGTAGGGTTATGGGGAATATTCTAGGAGAGGCTTGGGAAAGGAAGATCAGAGGTGGAGATAGAAGAGGGGGAGAGGGCAGCCCCAGTGGCGCAGTGGTTTAGTGCCGCCTGCAGCCCAGGGTGTGATCCTGGAGACCCGGGATCGAGTCCCATGTCAGGCTCCCTGCATGGAGCCTGCTTCTCCCTCTGTCTGTGTCTCTGCCTCTTTCTGTGTCTCTCATGAATAAATAAATAAAATATTAAAAAAAAAAAGAAGAGGGGGAGAGAGAGAGGAAGGGAGAGTGAAAGTGCTTGGGGATAGCTTTTTTATTTAGCCAGTTTGGAGAACATGTTGCTGAACCAGGCGGGACCTGATGCTGACTGGGACTGGCTGAACGCAGGGGACATGGTGAGAAGTTCAGGCTCTGGGAGTGGGCTTGGGTTGTGTGTGTGTGTGAGAGAGAGAGAGAGAGAGAGAGAGAGAGAGAGAGAGAGAGAGAGAGAGAGAGAGAGGAGTAAGGCTTGAACAAGGGTGGAGTTAGCACTAACCACACTGGGAGAGACATGGGTACAGATGGTGAAGAGCTGGTTTGGGAGAGAGGTTAGGAGTTCAGCTTAGGGATGTTAGGTCTGAGTTCTAGGAAAGCGGGAAAACAGTGTGGGGAGGAGCCATTAATGAAGGAAAGAACCAAGAATGTGACTCCTGCAGAAAACAACCTGGATTTGGCAAGAAGGAGGTCTGGGAGGAAATGTGGAATGAAGAGAGGGGAGTGTAGCCAAGAGCAACTCTGTAGCTGGGGAAGCCCGACAAGCTCCCAGCAGGAGTGGAGAAGGCTTACTGAGGAAAAGCCATGAGTAGGAGAACCATAGGAAGGCTGGGTGAGCCCAGATGAGGGTACACCACATGGGCTTTGAAGATAGATAAAGAATGAAGCAGTAAAGGATGAAAAGGCAGGGGCTGGAGATAAAAATACCCTTGAGGTGTGAAGAAGCTGAGTGTGATGGAGGTGAGTGACGTGGACGTGGGCTGAGAAGCCTGGCCTCTAAGGAAGGTAGAAACGTGGCTCTTCAGGACGAGGACAAGGGGTAGCTTGGTTGCATCAGGGAGGGAAAAGGAGCTCTGGGAATGGGGTCCCCATGTTACTGGGCTGGTCCTGGAGACCCCAGAAGCTCCTTCTGGAGCACAGGCTGGTGGGGAGGGGCACTGGAAAGTGTTCTAGCCACATTTGCAAGCACACACCCTGTTTCTCTTATAAGGCATTTCACTGTCCCTGAAATTCTTTGGGGTGACATTCTCAACCTGAGAGAGCTTATGAGCGTCTGTGCGCCGTGTAGTGGTTATAGACAGATGTGCTCCCGCATCTACGAAACCCTACCCCCTTTACACTGGGAACTTGATGGTAAAGAGCTGACTAGTTAGGGTCCGGGTTACCCATTTCCCCTTGTTCTCTTTTTCTGTTGGTTGGTTTTGACTTTTTGTTTCACTGTTTATTGGCCTTTCAAGCAGAAAACAAGGCAGTTTTACAACCCAACTACTGAAAATACTTGCGAGGCATTATTTCCTGTTCTGACAAACCTGTCCATGGATAAGATTAAAATCAATGATTGAATTAAGTATCAGAGTTACATATGGATTTAAAACACTTTATGTGGCTGTGATTACAAATAATCAGTCATCTACCAACTGAGTTAAAATTTCTTCTTTTACCACCTTCCTCTCTACATTTTCCCTCGTTGCACTTCTATTTCCTTATCCTTTCCCATGTTCCCTCCAGGTTTTCCCCACTGACATCAAGCTCCTGGTCCCAGGATTCAGAACTTGAGCAGAGAGCAGCTGTTTGTGCTGCTCTGGTATCCTTGGTTGGGAGAGAGATGATGTCATTTCACAGTTGAGGAGGAGGGGAGGGATGGAAGGGGCCTAGGAGAGCTACCCGTTTGGAAGCAGCTCTGGCCATAAATACAGCACCCCTGTAGCTGGGAGGGTGCCCCATTCTGGGCTGGTCAAGGAGAATTGGAAGTAGGGATAGGATACTTCCCAAATCCTTTGACATTTCCTGGGCCCAGATTTGGGGCGGTGGGCAGAGGGTGTTGGTGAGGATGGGGAATCAGATGATCCTTAAGTTCCTATCTGAAAATGAGATTCTAAGATTCTAGACCTGGGGAAGAGGGGAGGTGGGGAGATAGAGCTCAATCCTGGGTCAGTGAGAATCCCTAGGAAAGTGACAGAAGCCACAGTGTGATCTCATCATCTCCTATCTATCCTATAAAAGGGAGTCCTCCTACGTGCCTCCCTCCTGCCTGGAGTAACTGAAAGCCTCCTCAGCCAGGTCCCACACTGCTGCATTGTGGGGCCTATGCCATCTGGATTTGGAGGGGTGGGGGATGAGTGAAAAGCTGGTGTGGAGAAAGCTGGAAGGTAGTGGGTAGGGAGAATGAGGAGGGCTTGGTGGTGGTGAAGTCCTGGGAATGGCATTCCTTTGAAGTACACTTATTGCCCCCCCCCCCACTCGCTCTAGTGAAATCTGTGCTGGTTAATACCTTTCTTTCCATCTCTTTGTCTTCCCCACCCCACATCCTGGATGTGCCATCCTTGTTTCCCCCTCCTCCCCCATCTCATCCCTTTCACATCTGTATCTTCCTGCTGCCATTCTGTCCGTGCTGGCCACACTTCCACACTTCCACGTGCCTCCTCCAACCTGTCTGCCTTTTCCTTGCCCGCTCCTTCCCCATCTGTTGGTTTTCGCTCCGCACAGCAGAGGGGAAGGTGTACAGCTCAGATGAGGAGAAGCTGGAGGCACCAGCAGGAGACCCAGCAGGCAGCGAACAGGAGGAAGAGGGCTCAGGCGGGGACAGCGAAGACGACGGTTTCCTGGACAGCTCTGCAGGGGGCCCCGGGGCCCTCCTGGGACCTAAACCCAAGCTAAAGGGAAGCCTGGGGACTGGAGCCGAGGAGGGAGCACCAGTGGCGGCAGGAGTCACAGCTCCTGGGGGCAAAAGCCGACGGCGCCGCACAGCATTTACCAGTGAGCAGCTTTTGGAATTGGAGAAGGAGTTTCACTGCAAGAAATACCTGAGCTTGACAGAGCGGTCCCAGATCGCCCACGCCCTCAAGCTCAGTGAGGTGCAGGTCAAGATCTGGTTTCAGAATCGGCGGGCCAAGTGGAAGCGCATCAAAGCTGGCAATGTGAGCAGCCGTTCTGGGGAGCCCGTGAGAAACCCCAAGATTGTTGTGCCCATACCTGTGCACGTCAACAGGTTTGCTGTCCGGAGCCAGCATCAACAAATGGAGCAGGGGGCCCGGCCCTGAAGGGGCTCACAAGGATTTTGGAAGGCAAAGGGTCTGTTCCCATGCCTGCTCTAAGACTGGGTTAGGGTTCTGCGAACCAGAGGGGCTACCACTGTGATCCTGCCCTGGGAGGGGGCTCCGTCGGCAACTAATTTTAGTGCTAGGGGTGCTCTCCTGGCCACCTGACACGTGGGCACTGGGCCCTGAGCCTATTCCAGAGACCCTCAGACTGGGGGCTTCGCGGTTACAGGGGCTCAGGTTCTTGATGCTGAGGAGCTGTGGGGATTGAAGTGGACTCCAGGGAAGGGGGTGGATTCTAACATGCCTAGGGTGAACGCTTCCCAGCTAATGCCCTGGAACTACTTCTCATAGGGGTGGGAAGAACCAGGGTGAAGCCTAGCCAAGCTGATCACAGCTCCTTATTTATTTTCTGTAAAGTTTGTATATATGGAGCCATCTGCCTCCGTCTGTCTGTACCCCTGAGACTGGGGAAAGTTCCCTTCATCTTCAGCCAGAGTTCAGTTCCACCTTACTGCCTTGTGGAGGGGGCTGTCCTGCCTGTCTGTAGGATGAGGGCATGCGAAGAAACAGAATGAAACAGTCACCAGCCTCCTAGACCCCCTCAGCACGCACTGTCTCCCCCCGTGTAAACCACCTCCACTTCCCATCTGGGGGCTGCCCACTGTCCAAACCTCTAGACCTCATGCTCCCAGCACACTTCTTTTTCTCTCTACCCATTAAACAAAGCAAGCTCCGTCATCTCTGCTTTGTTCTCTTTGGGAGAGTTGGCAGACTTCAGGAGATTCACTCCCTTTCGCATTATGAGGGGAAATGAAGTACTTGATCCTAGCTTAGCTGAGCTATGTCCAGGCCCTGTCTCGGTAGTGGTTACCAGTCCTGTCAGCGAATGGGGCAGTTTGCTGGTTCACCCTCATCACCCGTGAGCTCACTAATTTTTTTCTGCGCAGAGGACACAGCCGCCGAGTCCATCTCTGTCCCCCTTTGATATTCCAGATGGGAGGGCCTGGAGTTGTGGTGTCTCTTTCTCCCCAGCGCATGGTTTACAGTTTGGGATACCAGAGCCTCTTTGGTTATAAAACTAGACTGGTTGAGAGGGCCCACTGCAAAATGGATGAGGCCAGAGCGAACGTGCCATGTTCTGGACGGTCGTGTGCCATGGGGGAAGCTATAGAGATAGGGTCTGGGAGCTTCGAGGTTGGGGTTCTACGAGCAAATGAAGGAACAACCTCGTAGTCAAAGTAAATGTGAGGCTGAGAGGCTTCAGGGGCACTTGCAAGAAATGGAGTATACCAGGTTGGGAAACAAGACCAACTGAAGCTATTTGCCGTTTCCCCACCTTCGCAGAAGGGCTGTTGTCCTGGGCCAGCCGTGGAGCGGGGCTGCATGGCCACACCTGCACAGACCCTGGGGAAAGAGGATTATTACAGAAACCAGCTGAAGTTGGGATCATGGTAAGCGGGGCTTCTGGGGAAGAAACAGGAGATGGAGAGCCAGGGTAAAGAACACGGCCACGGAGAACAAAAACAGGCAGGGCTCTGAGTGAGGCAAGGAGACCCAGGAGGTTAAGGTCAGGGAGGGAAACACAAGCTGGGTCAAATACCTGGTCAGCCTCCTCTCCACCCTTAGAAAAGTGCCACCGTTCCTTCCTCCTGGAATGGCATGCCAGCCACGATTTACTCAAACATCTACTGAATGCCTGGGAATGAGGAGACAGGCTTGCCTTGGCAGTCCCCTCCTCCTGGCTGGTTTTGGCAACCAAACACCTGTGACTGGTAATTCACCACAGTGTCACTGTTCCCTGGTGAGGACACACGCATCCAGGGCAGGTCTTCTCCGTTTGGCTAGATTTCAGTGAGGCTTGAAAATTAGGCTAAAAAATATATAGTCCAGACCAGTCCCATTCCTGATCTAGATTAAGGTTGTCTCTGCCCACATAAGGAACCCAAGGGGTTAGATTCTTTTCAGTAGAGATGCCAGGCAGCAGTTGAAGATCACAGGAGCTATCGTCACTTTGGCTGTTGGGAATTCGTGTCTCCTGGAGTAGGGCTAGAACAGATGATCCCTGGCTCTTTGCCTGAGGGGAGGCGGTGGGTACCAAGGTCCTGATTTACCATTTTCCTCTAAATTTACCTATGAAGCCTCCTAAACTATTCCAGGCAGTGTTTAGCCATTCAGTATACTAGGTTTTCCTTAGGGGAAATAAGGGAGGTGATTGTCACTAGTAATTGGGAGTCCAGAAACCCAGTCGTATACAGACCCAAAGCCTTGTTTCTGTTCTACTTTTCTCTTTAAGGCTCTTATTGGCCTTGCAAAGTGGTCATCTACCTGCACGCAGGCAGGTATCCAGAGAGTGGCAGCCCCCCAGAGCCAGAGCTCATTAAGTGTTGCAGAAAACAAGGGCCACCAGCAAAGTGGTTGTAGGAATGGGAAAAGAGCAGGCACCTGGACTTGGCAAGTTATCATCATTCAAGAATAGGTATAGAGGGGTTTCCCTCAGGTTGTTCCAGGATCGGGGGTAGTCAGGGAAAAACAGGAGCTCTGGATTCTGCTCCGAGCTTGGCATGATGTTGGTGGGAATCCAGGCGGCTGCTGGCTGCTCTGCCATCGGTGACCGACCTCCTCCCCTTTCCTCAAAAGCAAAGCCTCGGCATGGGTCCCGAGAGAAGTGCTGTCCTAGTAATGTCTAGCCACTCACCCTTGTGGCATCCTCAAAACTCTTGTCCTGTGCCTTGACTATCTCCCTGTACGTCTGGCTGTGTGAGCTAGCTGCCAGACCGCAGGAAGGGAGGCGATGTTCACATCCCCGCTTTGGGTGAACTGGCTGGCACCAGGCGTGGCCTGAGGTTACTGGACACCAGCTGGAAAAGCCTTCTGAGGGCAAGGGCAGGCTGTGGGAGTAGGAAGAGGCCATGCAAAGCCTCCAGTGGGCAGCACAGATCTCCAAACTTCCTCCAGTCACAGGGTTCACCTGCCGGGGCTACTGACAAGCTCAAATTAGTCCCAGATACAGACAAGAGAAAACAGTGGCATGGAAGTGGAGCTGACGGGCATTTCTGGGAGGGCAGAGATACAAAGGGGAACACAAGGCCACACAGTCTGGTTTACTGGCTCATCATACACACACAACGGATATGTACACAAACATAAATATTCCAATATACAAATTTACACGGGACTCACAGATCACCTCCTCGTGTCTCTTCTCCAGCAGCCCCCACCCCCAACCTGTGCCCTATCCGTCCAAGCTCCATTTTAGGATGAAGGCTTGCAGGGGGCTGGCAGTAGAAGGTAGGAATCTGGAGGAGGGAGAGGTCCTGCTCCCCTCTCCTCACAGGTACCTCCAAAGGGTCCTGTCCCTTTTCAGTGGCACCATAGGGCAGAGGGCTAGAATAGCTCCACTCCCAATCCGCTGCAGCTCAAATCCCAGAGGCCCCCTCTGGTTCCTCTGTCTCTTGACTCGTCCTTGTTTCCTCTCCTTCTTCCTTTCTGCGTGTCCCCGCTTCTCAGTCTCTGTGTCTTGGCATCCCCTGCCGTGCCTGTAGGGAGGAGGGGCCCCAGACCACGGAGTCCTTCTGGCCCCTCTGCCCTCTTCGTGGGCCTTAGAGAAGGCTAGGACTTCGGTGCAGCTCCGCAGAGGTGCTGGTACCATTGGCAGGCTCTCTGCTGGGGGTAGGTGCTAAGCCGCAGCCCTCCCCAGGGCAGCCATGCTGGATCAAGATGTCTGCGCACTCCTGGCTGCCAGCCCGACGAGCATAGGCCAGTGGAGTCAGGCCCCGGGCATCCCGGCTCCTCACATCCACCCCATACTGCAGGAGAAAACACATTTTCACAGTTGGCATGAAGTTCTTGGGGAGGTAAGGAGAGGTGGCTTTCAAAGGGCTGGGGCAAAAAGGAGATTGGATAGGCCAGAGGCACCCTCAAGGGTGGGGCCGGGAATGGAAAGGCAAGGAGGGAGCCCACAACTCACCCAGATGAGCAGTTGTGTGAAGACCACATTGGCCATGGCGCTGGAGAGATGGAGAGCCGTCCGCCCGTCCCCATCCCCATAGGTCTCGTTCACCTCCTCCTTGGACCCGTGTGCCAGCAGCATCACCAGCAGCCGCAGGTCGTCCTCCACCACGGCCCGGAGCAGCTGCTGCCCCAGCGGCACGTCCGAGCTCGGCAGCGGGGCCAGGAAGAGCTTCTGTTCATACTTGGCCCGTATCCAGCGCTCCTTCTCCTCTCTGCAACCACAGGTCCATCCAGGCATGAGCCAAGGAAGGGCCCGAGCCAGTGGGTGGGGGCCGGGGCAGGCAGTCAGGGAATGACACAGACACCCCACCCCAAAGGGGAACAGGAAGAAACAGAAAGCATAGGATGGAGCAGTGAAGAAATGGACCGCATACAGCAGGTAACGCAAAGGGGGGTGGGAGAAGCTGAAAGGAAGGAACACTGAAGAGAGGCCCCTTGGGGGGCGGCAGGGACGTAGGGGGCTGAGAGGGCAGCGAGATTCCAGGCAGGGCTCCGTAGTAGCTTATCTGGCCCTGCTGGAACAAAGGGGGTGGGGCGCCTCCACCAGGGGCCCAGGCACCATCCTATCTCCCACCCATTCTCCCCATCTCAGAGCTCCGGCTAGGGCCTTCACGCCACAGAGCGATAGGGCCCTGCGCATGCGCCTCCTGCTGGCCCCTGACCTGCTGATAAGGCTCAGAAAGGGCCTCTTGTTGTGAGGAGCCTGAGTGACAGGCAGGGAGGGGGAGGGGCACCCCAAGGGGCCAACTGCCAAGCAGAGCAACGGCCACTTTTAACCCTTAGAGCACTGCTGTAGCCACCCAGGCGCCATCCCTATCTTCCTCACACCAGAGCACCAACACCCAACACCCTTCCTGGCCAGCTTCAGGGCACCCCTGCCTCCTGCAGCCACTCACCTGCAGGCGTCAGGCCCAGGCTTGGCGTAGCCATCCAGGGCCCCCTCCCAGACGCTGTTGGCCAGGGCATTGCCCATCGCGGTCATGACAGCC